TTAATTTGTTTCGAAAAAAAAAAGTCAGAAAGAATCATTTACTCGTCTAATCATTTAATTGTTTACTCATTTACTTGTTTATCTTTCCTTTTCTTTTTTCATTTACTTATTTATCATTCCTTTTCAATTTATTGTTTTAAAATATTGTTTACAAATAACGCATTTTTAGATGACAGAAATTTATCTATCAATGAAATAGCTAATATTATTCAGCATGGATTTATTCCGAAAAAAAAAAACCAAAAGGAATTAAACGTGTAAGTGATTCCCTTTGAATCATTTAATTTAATCATTTAATCATTTACTCATTTACTTATTCATCTTTTCATTTATATCATATATACATTTGATAATAAACGACAAAACTTTAACAATTAAAGGGAAAAGTTAACCTTTGCTTCTATCAACACTTTTTTTTTTCAAACGCAGAAGTAATTAATTATTTCCTGCAATAATGATTCAATAGTATCAATTGTAATCATACCAGCTTTTTTTTTCAGTGTTATCATTAATTATCAATTATAATCATTTGATATTTTGATACTCTTACGGAACATTATCCATATCAATACTATCAACAAAATTTAGCTCAATTTCTGCATTGGATAATTTGCAAATTTATCACTGATAAGAATTATTGATGCTAATTTTACTGGAAAAGTGAAATGTTTGTTTCTTTTTTATAATCTTATCAATCTTTTCTTTTTTTTTCAATCGAAAATTTTCTCTCTGTACTAAAAAGGTATTAAAAATTATTCGTAATTAAATAATAACTGAGTAAAAACAAATTAGGATGTTTGAAATTTACACTGATTATTTCAATTTTAAATTCTATATAAATTTTACCACATTCGATTTCCTTGTTTCCATAAGAAGTACTTAAGTAAATAATGTTAAAATCAGGATTTATATTTAATTTTGCACTTGCAACATATTGCAAATCTTAGTACTTAAATAATTGTTAGTACTTAAATTGCAAAATAGACCAAGTCAAATGGTTTGCAAGGATTGAAAAGCTAACCCACATTTTGTCGCAAGTTTGGCAAAAGAAATGGCAAAAATCAAGCAAAAATCATCTTTTTAGGTTATATTTTTCCCAAGAAATCTTTGACCTTGACCTTTGGTCTAATCTTTGAAACACAGTGCAATATTTATGAATAATGTAAATCAGATGACCTCAGTCACCGATCTAATCTATCAGATGATATATCAATGATTTAAATCATTCGACCATATTGCTCATCTGGCATTCGATTTTGAAACTTTCAGAAATTGATCTTAATCATACTCCAGTATCTGTTTTGCATTTCTACTTTGACTTTAAGCAATGGTTTTAAGCTAATCTTTCAAATGCTTGTTCATTAAGTTCATACCGGTTATTCATGAGTAATCGAATCTTGAAAAAACATGAAAAAAAAATGAATTTATGAAGAAATGAACGATTTAATCATGATCGCATTCCGGATAAGACGGTTTGTCATTCCGGTAGAGTATAAGTTTGACAAAGTGTTATAGAGCGAAATCGATAAAGGCGTGTCTTTCTTTTCTATCAGTAAGAAGAAACGTTATTGTTGTTGTTGTTGTTGTTCGAAATTGCTATTGCCACTCTTTCCTGTTATTGTAATTCCAACAGCATTCCGTAATCCGGTTGATATCATTTCCAACAGCATTCCGTAATCCGGTTGATATCATTTCCAACAGCATTCCGTAATCCGGTTGATATCATTTTGTTAACTGACTGACAACCATCGTTATTACTGTTATCATTTTTAATATTTCTAATTATATCAGACCATTATCAGTTAAGCTTACTGAATTGCCTTTTTCTTTCTCTTTTTTTAACACCAATTCATTTGCATTTCTTGTTAGCCGTTTATAATCCTTCCGGTAAACATTTACTGCAAAACTTTTCATTTCCTTTTTATCTGAACTTAAAAAAAATTCAATGTCAACATTAATTATTAATATATTTTATCTGCTAATTGCAACTAATGCTGCACATATTTCACATACTCGAAAAGTAAGTTATCAATTTTTTCTCCTCTTGTTTTTTTCCATTCAAAACATTTTTTGTTTTAAATCGTATATATTAGATGTGAGAAAAGACCTGTGGTTACTGTAATGGCCGGTTACGGTTACCGTAGAATGAATGCTGTAAATGCAAACTGATACAACACCATATTTTTTTTTAAATGAAATAACGAATGGATTGAAGTAGAAGAAGCAAAGAAAAAATTGGAAGAATGAAATGAGCAGAAAAATGATAAATTTTTTTGCTGTTTTCTTTTTATTTTGCTTTTAAATATTTTAAATCATTTTATTTTCCAATACTTTTTTTTTCTTAATTGCAGCAACTAATTGGTGGGATAAAATTTTTTTTAAATAGTTTGGCTATTTAAAGAGAATAACACTAAGGTTAAATGTTATAACGTAGAAGTAAACCTTACATGAGCATTCTTTCCCATTATTATCAAAAGATGCATTATAAAACATATAAAATAAATGTGTAATTTTGGCTACTTAAGATAATAGAAATTGTTAAAATTTATGAAATTTTGAAAAATTATTTTCTCTAAATATATTAAATGTGGTCAATTTTTAAATATTCCACGTTATATACGTAAATATCTCACGCAATTACACGTCTAATATCGCTTTTTTTTTTTTTTTTTTTTTTTTTTGGGAGTAGTTCATTTCAAACAAGCAAAAATTGTCCCATCTAAATAATCAAAAAATGAGATGATGAAATTTAAAAAGAAGAAAAAAAAGATTGAGATGAACTTTTTTGAAATAATGCACAAACAAGTTCAGATATCAATAACAAATTCTTCCATCGATGTGACCAGGCAATAAAAGGGCAAAATTTTAACGATGAAAAAAAAAAAGAAAAGAACGAAACCTTGGCATGAAATATGAATTTTCATTTCCTGAAACAATATGTAAACAAATTCAGATATCAATAACATCGAAATGCTCAAACAAGAAAATGACAAAATTTACAAAAACGAAAAAGAAAAAGGGAAATGGTTGACATGCATTACGAATTTTTCCTTAAAAATAAAAATATGTAAACAGATATTAATTAATTAATTAAATTTATCAAAAATTGTTATTTTATACCTGTACTTTTCGGTTTAATTTCATAAATGCTTGTATTCAATTCCTTGCATTTTTATTTTAATAATAATAAAGCATAAAAAAAAAAAAAAACATTCAATATAAATCAATACGTAATACTTAACTTTTTTTCTTGCAGATATTTTACAATTAAATTTTAAAACTTCATGAACTTTCAAATTGTTTATATTAACTTATGCAAAATTGATGAATTGATTAATCCATATGATTTAGGCACATTCATATTTGGATCTTCGTATCAAACTATCACCAAATGGTGACACAATAATTTGTGATAATGACCCACCTTGTTCGATACCATATGCTATTTCTGTATTACATTCTCCTAATTATTTCGATTTATTGGTATGTTTGTTTATTTATTTGTTTATTTTTTTATTTATTGATTTATTTTTTATTTATTGTCTTATTTACATAATTATTTACTTCTTTATTTCCCTTTTTCAACCCTTTTGTTCCTATTATTTCAATTTCTATTAATTATTTATTTGAAATTAAACAAACCTTTACAAACATTACTAAGTAGTCAAGTAGAAGAGAGCAAATGAATTACTTTTACAATTAAACAAACTTGTAAATGACATGAAAGTGATACGTGAAACAAAGTGAATAGACGTAAAATGACGCATAAAACGTATTTGCAAAATTTGATGTGACAGAATTTTTAAAAAGAATTTCAAATCAATATTGTACAAATGTTGAAACAATAAATCATTTTGCAATAATTTTAATATTAAATTATCATTTATTTTTAGTTTCCGAATTTGTTTTTTTTTCTTTTGCTCCCAACACAATTCAACTAATTATTCAAATTCTAATCCAAAAAATATGGCATAAAAATTTCATTTTGATCTCAAATAGCATAATACATTGATAGAAAAGGAAATAGAAACAAAAATT